AAAGCTTTGCTATGGAAAAGAGAGAGGGAGCAGAGAGGCAGGGCAGGCTGAGGAGCGGGGCAGAGATTCCTCGGTGTCCCAGCAGCCCAGGGGATGGGCACTCACCAGATCCAGGAAGGCTTTTCTTTCCAAATCGAGCGTTTGGACCCGTGCTCGCAGCGCCTGGATTTCCTTGTCCAGCCTGCTGTTGTGCTCCATGGCCTCCGGTAGCTCAGTCCTGCCTGCACAAAACACAACAAACCAGGTCACCAACACCCAGCCGGACCTTGACCTCCACCTCCAGCAGCTCAGAGCGGGGCTATCGCACGAATAAGTTTTCTGAACCCATGTTGCCCTCCTGCACGGGGGGTACCTGTGCAACAGCACAGAGGGGAGCATGCACCGTACACATGGGAATGCATTCTCTTACTCAAATAGTAGAGGTTTACGTTTCTGGAGATCCAGGTTCAATAGCAGCAGCCTCCCCAGAGTTATTCCAGAGATTAAGTTTACCTCTAGATCATGGAAAACACTTCAGATATTTACCTATGGGTTTCACAAACAGCTAGGCTAAGCTTTGAAAACCCCGAACAATCACATTTCTTACTTTCATCATCAAATCATGAAGTTGCTGTAAGCAGAAACACAACCATGTGTTCATGTATCGGTGTTGTGCGGGCATTAATATTTACTAAGCAGCCACTACAGTAAAAATAATGGCTGCATACCGACCCAGCAAGCCTGAATCAATAAACATATGCAGCCAGTTAAGGCAGACTAGCTAATATTTCAAGTGCAAAAACATAGGAAGAGATGTTTGTATCAGGGGCACCCTGACAGAAACATGTCTGAGTACACACTGGTATCCTAAAAAAAACTAGTAAGAAAACAGGTTTCGTTACAGAAAAGGGGAACACAGATTTTTCCCTTTTCAGTTTAACACTAGGCACAGGAAATTTCAGGTTATATTTCACTTTTATTCAGGCAAAAATAAAAACATATCTGTCCCTTGTTTCAAAAAGAGGATTTTGATGCTTGATTTTCCTTCTTTTTAAAAATAAAAGGCAAGGAACACCTTCTACCAAATGGTTTATTTTGCTGAAAAGCCTGTTTACCACTACAGAAAGATGTGATAACATTCTGGATCTTCTCTGCTGGTAAAGACCACGACTTACCGCTCTCTCTCCATTCGTTCACCCCTTCTTCCCGGCTGTCAGGCGCTCGCAGGGCTGAGCAGGAGGCCAAATCTAGAAGGATAATAAAAGCGACAGTTTTGTTGCAGCAGCTTCTGAGCACTAAACTCTGCAGCATTTTTAATGCATTTTGTTGCATTAAACAACAACATTAAATAATTTTGTCGAAGGAAAACTAAGCTAAATAAAAAATTAAAGCAACAGACAGAGGGGCACACAATTTAAAATCTCCAATCGCCAAAGACCCAATAACTGGGCAATCTTGTGTTTTCTCTTCAATGCAAATGAGCAGTTGCAAGTTACCACTGCACCAAACCACACTGTTTGAGCAGAGTTTTACTGCAAGACCAGGGATTTTATTTTACAGAAAATCATTGGTTTATTCACAGAGCAGCTGGATCTGAAGCTCGCTGGGAGGAGAAGGCATGCGGGTGTTCACCATCAGGGAAGCCACCAAAGATGTTCTAACACTAATTCTGCATACAAATACTCACAGCATCATAAGCCACACAGACAAAACAAGCATGAAACCCTTACTCACAGTTAGGATAGCCTTATAGTCACTTGATACTTAAGAAGGTTATAAAACACCAATTTCCCCAGGCGGGCTACGATCCACTGAGAAGAGTCGCCCGCTGCAGCCCGGCTGCGATCCGGAGAAGCAGTAACTGTGTGGAGGCTGCAACACAACGTTCACCCCGTGCCCGGGGACTCGCCGTGTATCGATTGATACACAAAGCAGACGCCCGCCGAGCGCTCATTTCCCTGCCTTTGATTAAAAGGCTGCAAACGAGAGTTTCTGAGGCCGGCTGGCAGGTTTAGCCAGGTCCGAGCATCACGGGCAAGCTGCGAGGGCAGTGTCAGGACCCACGATTCACACGTAAACCCAACCCAGGTGATACCTGTCTCCCAAGGTGAGTTAGTCTCTGCAAAGGCACACAGGGCAGGGAATGTATCTTGCTGCATTTTGCTGTTTTTCTGAAAGTTCTGCATCACAGATTTTGGGACAACGTAAATCACCCAGAGAAAAAGCATCCAGAAAGCAGCATTTCGTTCAGGAAATCTCCTGCAGGAGGCGGCGATGAAGCAACCTGGGCTTTAGGGACCACTCCAAGAGGAGTTTTATCAAGTTTTGTCATTTCCCACCAGCAAATGGTTTATTTTCACAGTCAGTATTTAAAAAAAATATGTAACACTTAAGCTCTCATTAACAACAGTTGCTTCAAGAAGGAGGTTAAGCAAATATCAGCAGTGGTAAGAATTTAACCAGTCATTTCAAGACTGCTGATAAGCTCCATTTATAACAGCTTGCTAACGGCTCCTAAGGAGGCAGCATCCCAAACACAGCACCTGAGGAACCTAGAGACGAGCGGTCCAGCTGGGCTGACACCTCGTACACCGTGTTTTAGCTATTCCGTTCCTGCACCAAGCTGTTATTTCCTCTCTGTCCCTCCCAGGGCATGAATTTCTCCCTTTATGTGAGCCAGGGACAAGTCAGTCAAGACTGCTGCTGTAATCACAGATCAGAATACCCCAAATCTCAGCTTTCTCCACTCAGAATTAACTGATTCGTGACAATTAATGACTGCATTCCCATCTCCTAGGTACCAGGCTAACATCTGACACTGATTTTTCCATGTTACAAGAAGAGAGGACACGGGAAAGCCTTCCTCCAACTCCCCTGGGTGAGAAGCCCAAGATTTACACCAACCAGCAACAGGCTACGTGCAGGCCAGTAATTAGGAGAGGCCAGGAGAGAAGCACTTACCCATTTCGCTCTGCACCTTTCTTTGCGCATCCAGCTCTTCCATCAACCTCCGGATCTCTTCCTGAGCCATCATCAGCCTCCGTGTGGCCTCATCCAGATCTTGTTCAACTCTTGCACGTGATGATTGCTCCCTCTCCAGCTCTTCCCTGTAGGACTGAAACACAAGAGCTAATGCTCCAACAGAAATGAGAGAACCCTCCGGGTGATGTGACCAAGGCAGGTCCTCCCTCCGCGTTGCTCCTGACCCGCCAGCACGAGGGTGGCGACACAACCAGAAAGCAGGTGAGCTCGCGGAAGCCACTGCAGAGGCAAGAGAGACACACAGTGGAAAACCCTCTTCACCACAGA